TTAAAATCTTTTATACATATATTTTCATGCTATGAACATAATATATAAAAATATTTCTATACATCAGTTTTATATAATTGTAGGATTATTTTTATTGTATATGAATATAAGTTGGTAATGATAAATTTGGGTTGGCTATGGTGTGAAAGCTACTTCAGTACGAGAGTGAGAAATATTACGTGCGTGAATGATAACTTTTGTGTTTGTTTTATGTATATAAATATATATATGTATAAAAAACAAAAAAAAGTTTATATATTGTTATATATTGTGTGTTTATTGTGTCTTTATAAACTTATACATATACTTTCGAATCATAAATTCAGAGATCGAACAAAATATCTTTCAATTCAGTATAGCTTCCTAATTCAGATAATTATATGATTCTATTTTGAAAAATGAATTTAATCTTTATATGTTTTTCATTTGTCCATGTATAAAAAAGTTAACAATATCAGAATATACTTCTTTCGAAATCATTTAATTTTCATTTAAAATATTTTTTAATATTATTGAAGGAGACATTCCAAGTCAAATTATTTTTAATTTATTCTGTATATTAATATGATCAAATTTAAACAAAAATTCCAAATTTTCTATAGTTAGATACATAATACTTACAGTAAAGAGTATACTATTTTATAGAAAATTCACAAAGTTTCATATGTATATATTATATATACATATTTTACATATTTTTAAAAAATTTTTTTAAAATTTTATTAAAAAATAAAAGAAATTTTAATTTCTTAATTTAAACAAATTCTTTATTTTTAATAAAACTATAATATTTCATTATATTCTACATAAATTTTCTATAAAAATTTTAAAATCAGAATATTTGAATTAAGTGAATTTCTTATAAAATATACGAAAATTTTGTCTTTCATTATATATCAGGTAAAATAAAATATCATTAATGTTTCTTTCTAAAAAATAAGAAAATCCTTCGAACACAAATACGTTATTATCCAAAGAATCGAAATATTTTTATTTGAATCAATGCATGCAATTTCCAACTTTTTTTTAACAACCGTGTAATGCGAGAAGCACGCTAACAGTCAAAATATTTAAAAGTGCAAAAAAAGTGCAGTGTTTTTATTTGATTATGGCAGAAAATCAAAATAAGAAAAGAGTTTTTTCTCGGTAAAACAAAAGATAATAATTGCTGAAAAATTGCAAACAGGAACATCAGTGAAATTATTATGTCGCGAATATGGAATTTCACAAGATGTCATACATCGGATTCGTCGAGAGTATAAACTTTTATCAAATTTTGGAAATCGTGAAGAGCAATACATATTGCAATATAAAAAGAAAATCCTCGAATGAGGATATCGAAAATCGTTTATATACGTGGTTCTTACAACAACAGAGAATCCATTAACCAATTTATTATTACAAGAGAAGGCAATGAAAATCTGCGGTCAACACGAATCAACATCATTCGCCGCAAATTGAGGTTAGCTACGCAATTTTAAAAAACGATATGTAAGCCGGCTTCATGAAGTATAGACGAAGAAAGTACAAAATGCATCGAAGAAACGCGAGAGGAAAATATAGGATTAGAACAAACAAATTCATGAAGAAGAAAAAAATAAAATAGCAGTGCAATAGTCAAGTGAATCAAAATTGAGTTTAATAGAAAAGAAGGAAAAAGATTTAGAAATACTCGAAGAAATGAAACACCACAGGAAAGCCATTTATATATAACAAGTGCCTGAATCAACAGAATATAAGTATGTATAATTAAATTAATTAAACTAAAATATAAGAGTATGGTTTATTTTAGAATAGAATTATATCAAAATCGTTAATGTCAAAGTGAGAAAGCATTATACATATTCTATCTATATGTTAAACGATGTTTATTCGACTTAAAAATATATAATTTTTCATTTTAACTTTGAATCGCAAACTTGAAATACAAAAACAAAATATAAAACAATCTTTAAGCGACTGAAATTACAATGATATAAGTTTCGTATAATTATAATGTTTCGTTTAATTAAATACGAATATTTTACGAAATTAAATTAATTAAATTATCAAAAAAATGTTTTAACAAAAGTTGTTTGATTCAAAAGAAGATATTATATGATATAAATTATTTTTTTACAAATCAAATAATGGGAATAGATTTAAAATTAACTTCATTTTTTTTAAATCAAAGAATGTGTTCAGAATTATAAATCCTTATATACATATCAATTAATAGTTTTTTATATTGTGAACATATAAGAATGAAGTCGAGAAATATAAATTTGTTTATCCCAAGCTTTTTTGATCTATATCTATTTATAGTTTTTAACAATAAAATAAGATTTCTCAATTATTAACATTATAATCATTTTTTATACTGTGTCGATAATGTCGCATGTAACTGAAGATAAATATCAAATTACATATATTCTTGTGACATTCATGACAAAAATATGTCACATCTAATTTTTTTTTTATACCTCATTTATGATACAAAATATATCTAGCCATATTATTGATCTATTATTTCAATCTGTTATTTATATCAAAAGCATGTGACTTACCATTTGTAGATAATATATATATAGACATAAGAATAACTTCCCATCCGTTCATAATAATGTATTATACATATTTTCGTGAAATTGTCGTGATTTTGCTAATGAACATTTTGAATTTCACGAATAAAATATATATATTTTAAATATAAGTAAAAATTTACCCTCAATTTTAAATTATATATGAAATTAAATAAATATAATTTATAATAAGTATAAATTATAATTAGATGCGTTTAAAGTGGCCATAACATTTGAAGTATTGAAGTAAGAATTGATATACATTTTCTTTATAGATCAGCAGACAAAATTAATAAATATGGTTGCCTATAATATATAAAATATATTAATATATAAAATTAATATATAAAATATAATTATAAAATATTTAAATGTTATAACATAAGATATAAGATAAATATTGGATATAGAATAAATATTTATGGGATTTTTTATTTCATGTTTTGAAATTGTACAAAAAATCAAAGTATTTGGTATATCTTTTACGATTTAAAACAATAAATGTAAAAAATAAAAATATAGATAAATATAGAATAATAATTGGATGATAATATATATCATATGACGATGAAAAAAATTCTATGAAGGTCATTTTAAAATTTTTTTTTAAAGTCATCATATTTTTTTTACAAATTAATATCCATTTTTTAAAGCCGATTTAATATATCGTAAATTTGAAAGCGAACAAATGAATTTCATTCTAAAGAATTTAAAATAATAAAAGAAAACCTTAAATATTACCTTATTTAATAAAAATGCATGTGTCCATATACAATATACAATATTGTGTGTACATGCACAAGAGTGCAAGATGTATTTCATAATCGTTCTTTCATATTATCAGAATTTCATGGAATTTGATAACTTCTTATAAAAAAATTAGGAAAATTGAGCTGATCAAATAATGCATGCACTATTTAATTGAAAAATATTAAATATTTTATACACTTTTAACATTATGAACCGCTATCATACTGATGTTTTATTAATATTGATTTTTAGAGAAATATCATTCAATAGTTCATATAATTTTTTAGTAATTCTTTTTTACTTTTTATTTTTCAATGTTCAATGTTAATAAAATATGATTAATAAATTCTGCTTTTCTTCGGAAATTAATACAATAATATTCCAAAAATAGTTCTGAATTCTCAATGTATCAATAATACATTATGCCTATTTAATTCTTTATAATTAGTAAAAATTGATTCGTTTCTAAATAATTATCAAAATAAAATCGAATTACCTCATATTTGTCGTAAAATCCATTTAAAAAATCCATTTTGAAAATCATCAATATATTATGATGATACAAATGAAACTTATTTATATATGGTTTATTACGATATATTCTTACAATTTCATAATAATTAATTTTTAGATTATATATCACTGCTTATAATAACAATTTTCAATTTTTCACTTGTAATTGTTTAGATTAATACTCTCTATTTTGCAAATCCATAATTTATTGAAACGTAGCACAAAAGAATAATTCAAGATTCACAATTCTTTATATAATTCATATATTCGAATTATTTTATTCCATTTAGCATCACTATAAATTAATATTATATCTATTTTTTTCTCTTCATTATATTGTATTATCATATTTTAATTAGTAAACTTTCGTAATAAATGTAATAAATGATTCTAAGCGAGTAACGAGGATAATGCTTTCGAACTTGAAACTATACTGTTATAATAACACTGTTTCAGTTTTTATTATTATACTGAAAAAGAAACTTAATAGATATGTAGTAAACAAAGCCTTTTTGTAACATTGGAATTTCTAATACATAGTATAAGTGTTAAATATTATTATTCTTAATATAATTCAGAAATATGTTAGAAAACTATTTAATTATTTATTTATTATTACATGTTTTAAAGAATTTTATCAAAGAATGCTTAAATTTTACGTAGGTAATTAAAATTATTAATTTTTTATAATTGTGTTAAATAAATATTTATATCTAAAATCGAATATAATTTTAATGATTTAAATTACTTTTGAGTACTATTAATAAAAAAAATACAAATTTAATTTTTTGTTTGGAATTCACGTCATTGAAAAATTTGAAACGGATATTTTTTTTAAATTATTCTTTCTTTATTCTTGAAACGAATTATTTTTTTTTTAATTTATAATATATTAATATAATATTCAAATATATATAAATTATATAAATTTATATAAAGATGATTCTATATTATAGACAACATTTTTAATTTAATAAAATATACTAATGATTAAAGGATTAAAGGATAGATACATTTTTCATTTAAGAAATCTAAAAAAAAAAAAAAAATATGAAATTTTACAAAACATATACAAAACATTTTATTAAAAGTAACAGTAAATGAAAAATATTTACACAACTTATAATATATACAAAACGCAATAACGAGTAAACAATCACATAGATATATCGCAATTGCAAAACATATACATTAAAACATTGGACGGAATTGTGATGATAAGATGAATGATCAATCTTCGAATGATTAAATTATAAAAGAAGAAAAAAATTATTCATTAATTTCATTTCCTTCACTTTTTCCTCGTTAATTAAATTTTTTTGAAAATTCTTCTATTATTTTAAAAAAAAATTAACCTTCTTTTCTTTTTATTACGATTTCACTTGGCGCGCTAAATCGGACACTACATCGTATGGCTATATTAATTTTGTTCGATCGAATTTCTAAAACTTTCCATTTCCTCTGCAACATCACAGGATAATATAAAATCCGTGCATCTAAAAACGAAAGTGAAAATGACAAATGGAGTCTCTCGAAGTATATTGACGAGAGGGAAAACAAGTCGATCGTCGAGAATGAGGGGAAATCGGAACGATCGTTTCGAATCGGCATTCTGTTATGTACTGGCAGTGCTGTGACGGTTCACGATCGAGGATCACGTGATGTTAACAATCGCGCGCTGAAAACACGGCACGTTTGATCGTTTCGATATCAGAAGTCGGTCAAATACGATCGTAAATACTACAGTTTTTAATCCATCGATCGTTATTTTTTCTTATGGTAGCCTGAAAAACCGCCACCACCGCCGCCATGTCCGCTGAAATATAAATTAAAATTGTTAATAATTCATTTAAAATTAATAATAAATTTTAAATTAATTAATGTTAATTTCTTATTGCATTTACTAATTTTTACAATATCTTCAATAAGAGTAGATTATCTTAGTAAGAAGAAATTTATTTAAATTTTTAAAACTGATTGAAGAGGTTTAAACTAAATATGAATGAATATAATAATAAAATAATTACAGGAAATATTTTTCAATTTTCAATTTACAAATAAAAATTAAATTATTATTCTATTCACAATTCAATAATTATTATATAAAAATTGAAGTCTAATCTCAATTTTTAACACCTTAAAAAAAGAAAATAATAGTATAAAAGAGAAAAAATTAAATCAATGAGAAAAAATTCTTTCCTCACTTAAAAAATTGTGAAGAATAACAGAGTATTTTTTTTTACCTGCTGCCGAATCCTGACGATATACTATTGCTAATAGCATGGTGCTCAACGCCACCGCCACCACCATAACCACCACCGAATCCACCGCCTCCTCCAAACCCTCCACCACCATGGTGATCATCGAATCCACCACCGCCACCTCCATATCCGCCTCCGCCTCCACCTCCAAATCCTCCTCCACCGTGGTGTGCATCGAATCCACCGCCACCACTTCCATATCCGCCTCCGCCTCCGCCTCCAAATCCTCCTCCACCGCGGTGTGCATCGAATCCACCGCCACCACTTCCATATCCGCCTCCGCCTCCGCCTCCAAATCCTCCTCCACCGTGATGATCATCAAAACCACCACCACCACCACCACCACCAAATCCTCCACCACCGTGGTGGTCATCGAATCCTCCGCCTCCACCTCCATATCCACCGCCTCCACCTCCGTATCCACCGCCTCCGCCTCCAAATCCTCCGCCACCATGGTGTTCTATGATTCCTCCACCGCCTCCATATCCACCTCCGCCTCCAAATCCTCCGCCGCCGTGATGATCATCGAAACCTCCGCCTCCACCTCCGTATCCACCGCCTCCGCCTCCAAATCCTCCGCCACCATGATGTTCGATGATTCCTCCTCCACCACCACCGCCGCCTCCATATCCGCCTCCACCTCCAAATCCTCCACTGTCATGATGTTCAATTATGGCTCCACCACCACCTCCTCCAAATCCTCCTCCACCACCATGGTGTTCGATAATTGCTCCGCCTCCGCCTCCACCGAATCCTCCTCCGCCGCCGCCATGATGTTCAATAATTGACCCACCACCGCCACCTCCATATCCACCACCTCCATATCCACCTCCGGAACTTGATATTATAACATCCCCGTGGCCACCTGAAAATAATTGTGTTGATATGAGAATGAGGAATATATGAGAGGATTTAAATTTGGAAATTTTTAATCAGTAATCCAACATTGTATACACTTGTTCCTTTTGCTTATTTTACATCACTTTGTTTTAAATATCAATATTTGTTTAAGTTAAGCTTATTTATATTTGTGGAATATTCAAATATTTATGGCACTTTGAATAATCAAATCACAAATATCATAAAAAGTTATATAAATATTACATTCATTACATTCATTCATCTTACTTTCTAACAAACAAGGGAAAAATAAGGAAATCTATTTAAGATTTTAAACTTTCAGCTAGCAATATTCTATGTCCAATTTTCAATGTTGCAAGCCAAAGTTTATGACATGCTATTATTATTTCTATCATTATAATCTTACTATATATTTTTCTATCATGATTCAGTTTTTCTTCGGCGAATTTCTACATAGGAAAAATATATAACTCCTATATTCTTCTTCTGGGAAAATTCATTGCAGAATTAAACCACTTTTAGTGATAGAGAGAGTAACATATTGGACAGCTTTACTCGAATCGTTCTTTTGCCTATTTTATATTGCCTATATTTAAATATTCTTTTTTTTTTTTAGTTATTTATTAGAAAATATATAATTTCAATTAATAATTAAAAGAATTCTTTTATGATAATTAAAAGAAAAAATTGAACAAAATGAAATTTCTAACAATATCATCGATCACCGTCCAACTTTGCATAGCAATTCGCATAATTCAAACATGTTTGCAGTAAATTACAATCTGGATGAATGTAAACGAGAATTTATGATAGTGTGTGTATCCGTGTTTGAATTCTTGACTCCGAAATAAGCCGGAAGTGAAAACCCATAAAACGAGTTCTACGCTTGATTCTAAAGAGCGCAAAGAGAAACAGAAGATACATTCTCTGGAAATCAACTAGATATCACTATTAAAGTTAAAGAGAACGTGAGAATACATTTTACTATTATTTTACTGTTATCTGTTGAGCCGAGAAATTTAAGAACACTTTTTGCGTGTCATTTTAATGATAATCAATGTTTGAGATTTTCATGAATCTTTGTTGCAATGTTATGAAAATGAAAACTCATTAATTATAATGACTGAAATTGAAGTAGATGTTTATCATAATACTAAATTATGATATTCTTCCTTTTGCAGGCTGAAATATTCTATGATTAACATTTATATTTCATAAAAAGTTGCTATTAATAAAGTCATAAGTTGTATCATTATATTTTTCTTATTAAATGCAAATATAGACTACAGATATTATAGAGATAGATTTACAGATAGATTTAATAAGGCCAAGTGTATCAAATATATGTATATGTATATATATGATTTGCAAAAATCTAGAATATCTAAATATATACTTATTATTATAATTGGAAAGTGAAATGATTCTCTATCTCAGTTTGTATGATATATATCTATTTTTCAATAGAGATAATAATTTTTACAATCTAGTAAGAAAAAATTTCCTGTATTTATGTTACCTACTTTTCAACCCTTATGAATTAGTGAATTATTACATTCACAAATATAAATTAAACAATTTTCACATTATATTCATAGTTTAAAATTTTAATTTAAATTTTTACCTCCAAAACCACCGCCACCTCCATGGCCACCACCTCCAAAACTGACATGTCCGCCAAAACCACCTCCTCCATGGCCACCTCCTCCATGTCCTCCACCA